CCAAGAGCATGCTCTGTACTGCAGTGGCCTCAGGCTAGTGGACAGCGGGGCTGGTCTTCATGGACCCCTCCTGGGGACTCCCTGGGTGGGAAGGGCCCCTGGCCACAACCTGCCATGGCCCTCTGTCCAGATCTAGGCCCTCCTGCCTTTAAGGCCTCAGTATCCTGTCTCTACAATCCACCTACAAAGCACCAGAACTCTGTGATTCTGACACAGTTTATCATTCCCAGCATCTCTACTTAAAGCAATACAGAAGACAATTATACAGATTGCAGAGACCCAAGAAAGAGGAGCTTGGGGAGGAAGAAACTCAGAGCCAACAAGAATGTAACATAAACAGCTCAGCAAATAACAGTGCAATCTCCCAGCTAATAATTTCCCGGCTTAAAACCTAAATACATTCACATGCCTGATTAAACACTAACAACATCACTATAAAGGAAGATTATAAGTTGTAATATGTCTTTGCAAGAAGCAGCATATTAACCACTGTTTGTATACTTCCCCAATTACATTCCTTTAATTCTTTCATTTAGAAAACAGTTTACATCATAATAGCCTGAGTCACTTCTGGTTTTAAAACAATTGGACATATGTATATTGCCAAATCATGTGTCTATGGAATATTTACTAGAGAAAGAAATTGCCATCATGCTTTGAAAATGCTCTCTAACTGGGGAATCTGGTACCTTAATGACACATGGTCCATGGGGTGGCACCTGTGGCTCAGTGGGTAGGGCACCGGCCCCATATACCAAGGGTGGTGGGTTCAAACCCGGCCCCAGCCATCTAAAACAGCAGTGGCAACTGTAACAAAAAATAGCTGAGTGTTGTGGCAGGAGCCTATAGTCCCAGCTACATGGGAGGTTGAGGCAAGAGAATCACTTAAGCCCAATAATTGGAGGTTGCTGTGAGCTGTGACACCACAGCACTCTACTGAGGGCAACAGAGTGAGACTCTATCTCAAAAAAAAAAAAAAAGGAAAAAGAAAAAGAAAAAAAGACGCACTGTTCAGCAGCATCTCTTCCCACTATTCCAGTGCTTCCCAGTAGGTCAACATCTCAGTTTTTCTTCTTAAATTTCCCGGGTACAGAGATTTGTTTTAAAGACTTGGAATCCTAAACAACGTGAGTCCAATGAGCCCCCCATGCTCTGGGTTTGCCCTGCCCCACAAAGCCCTGTCTTGGCTGCTCACTCATTGGGGACTCCCCCGGGGTTGGTGGTCAGTGGCCAAAGTGTCTCCAGCCAATCTTCCCTGCCAAGCCCACCCAGCTCAGCGTCTGGCTAGCAAGTTGTAGAAAAGCTCAAAGATGATATTTTAAACACACGTATTGACTCTAGAATTGGATGAAAATAAAAAAGATAAAACAAATTCAGGACCTAAAATTATATAAACGACAATGATACAATAATAGAAACAGCAAAAAAAACAAAATAAGTGCTTCTAGAAACTAAATTATTACCACAAGTAACAACAGGTGAGTGCAGATTAACGAGACAATGGGGCTGTTGCAATGAAAGGGAAGGCAATACCAGCTTGTTCCAGAAGAGAGACAAAGAAAGTCCAAGTAAGGAAGCTGGTGCCCCTGAGGGAGGGAACCAGACAGGTGGACCTGACAATACTTTCTAAGGGGCCAGGGAGGTGGCTCACACTTGTGATCATAGTACCCTGGGACGTTCAGGCAGGTAGATTGCCTGAGCTCACAGGTTTGAGACCATCCTGGGCAAGTGCAAGACCCGTCCCCTAAAAAAAAAATTAAATAAATAGCTGGACATTGTGGCAGATTCCTATAGTCCCAGCTACTTGGGATGCTGAGACAAGCGAATCACTTGAGCCTAAGAGTTTGAGGTTGCTGTGAATTCTGATGCTATTGCATTCTACAAAGAGCAACAAAGTGAGACTCTGTTTCAAAAAAAAAAAAAAAGATATAAGATAAAAAATAGTGCCTGAGGGTGGCACTTGTGGCTTAAAGGAGTAGGGTGCTGGCCCCATATGCCAGAGATGGTGGGTTCAAACCCAGCCCCCGCCAAAAACTTCAAAAAAAAAGTGCCTGAAATGAACAAAGGTTGAATCTGCAGGTCGAAAGAAAATACTTTCTTCTTGGGAAATTTAACAGAAAACAGAAACACCAAAGTAAATCCTAATTAAGCTACTTAATTTCAACATAAGGAAAGAGTACAGCTTGTCTTCTCATTGTTGGAGAATAAGGTCAACAGGTCTGAATCTCCAAGGATTATAGTTTGCATGAGCTCTTCTTAGGGGAAGTGAAAACTTAGCAATGAAACCCAAACGCTTGAATCAAAATGTAACATATGAACAGAAGTAGGAGGAAGAAATTAAAAGGTGTGAGAGTGAAGTCCCCTCATCTCTCAGGTCACGAAGTTGGCTATTCTTCCATGGAATCAAAACAATGTGCATTTTAAAATGCATTGACACTGAATCCCTAAGTTTCCCTCAGTTTCTGTTCCTTTCTTCAGAGAGAGCTTTGAGCAACACCCCTTATGGTGGGGAAATACCCATGGGACACCCACTAGTTCCCTCAATATCGCTTCAAGTCTGTTTTATTCTGTTAAATCTAAGTGAAGCAAATGTAATTATTTTTATTAAGAGAATGGCATACACTATTTCTACCCCCATCCCTGTCTGTCTGCACATACCTTCGAGGAGTGATTCTCATACTGTCTCTGCCCACCTGTGCCCACACGTACAGAAACAGAGTCGTCCTCAATGACACGCATCTCATAGTCACGATGGTTATGGCTGATGGGGGAGCAGGGTCTTTTCTAGATTTTTATCTTTTTATATTTCCACTGCTTGAATTATTTATGAGTATGCATTATTACCTTATTTATAAAAATGATAAAATGATTTTGCTAAAATTAAAAAAAAAACGTAGATACTCTAAGATGCTGTGTTCATTTTCCATACAATGGAAATAAATGATTGCATTTTCCTTCTTTTAATTTTTTCTGAATTTTTAGACTTCCAACAATTAAAAAAATAAGAAAAGCCTGCTTATTCAAAAGAGCTGTAAAGAGTTCTTACTTTGGCAGCTGTGGGAGCCAATCTCTATTGACACATAACTGAGAGAGTCTCTCACCTGAAATGCAGCCCTGGGAAGAGCGCTGGGAGTGTGTGCAATGCCACAGCAGGTATGCAAATTAATTAAAGTCTTCATTCGAAGAAACTGGTATAGATAGATTAATTTGTTAAATTTCCTTCTGGTTTTAATGGTGCATGAAAATACAAATGCAAAGGAGACTGATGTATAAAATTCTTGCTAAAATGCAACAAAAAATAAAGAAGAAAATTTTTACCACCAATCTCCCAAGAGTTGGTGAGAGCCTCTTCAAGTTAGAACCTCATAAATCACTGATTAAAAACATAACAGACTTCCCAGGCTCTTCCTTCAAAATCAGTTAAATAGATTTTTGAATCTAGGTGGAAGAACTCCGTGAACTAAGCTGGCCTGGCACGATGCATCCATGTTTGAACCTGGTCATCTACCCTTGGATTTGGGCCCCTGAGACTTTGGCAAATGTGACACAGGGAGGGTTTTGTGGCAGGGTGTACGTGCCCTCTTTCCAGCTCTGGCTGGCCCAATGGAGGCTAAGTGGCCACAGAGAGTGACTTCGGTCATCCCAGACTCCAGTACATCATCTCAGCAAGGCCACGGGAGACCATCCAGCCCCCATAGAGCCAGCCCAGGCCAGAAGAACCACCGGCCAACCCATGGGACAGTGAGCAATAGTACATGTGTATTGTGCTAAGTCACCAAGCTTGTGGTGTCCTGACAAAGACTCCTCCTTGACCAAACTCTAGTCAGGCTTCTCACCCTCTGCCCTGGGAACCAAGTTCACAGCCTGTGTTCAGTGGAACCCGCAGGCCAGCACAGCAGAGCCTCACCCTGTTCCTGGAGCTGCTGCCCCAGAACAGGCCAGGCTCCACACTCAGATGTGTCTGAGCTGCTGGTGCGTCCAGTCTCTTTAGCCGTTGCTGGCTGTGGACTACACTTAGAATCACACAGACTGGATTTTAGGCTTGGATTTCTCTCATTCAGGCCACTTATTAACTCAGGGTGAGACTTGGAACTCATCTTGGTTCCCGCCAATGTCACCCTGCTTAATGTGTCTTTGTGGACCCTCCAGAAATCTGAACCATTTTCCTTATCCCTTGAGGTAGACTCATTACTCCTACGTCTATCAAGATGAAGCATAAACAAAAATGTGCTCTCAGGTCTCCACATCAACAATAAAAATCAAAGAGACAAAGGTTGACAGTGGGCCAGCAGCATCTCCAGGGTCCTCACTAGGTCTCTCCCATCCAGGACCCATCCCATGTCCCTCTAGAACATAGCTCCATGGTGTGAGGACTTTCCACCCTCGACCCTACCCCCTGTCCAGCCTGGACTGGCCACCCTGCTCTGAGCCCTGGACACAAGAATTTGTCAGGTGAGCTGCCAGAGTGACACCTTCAGGGGGTTCTCAGGGGTGCCAAGGGGGAAACTCCAGGAACTCAGGGAGCATGAGCTGGGAGGGTGACAGGGGGCACAGACACATTCTCTACCTGCTGGTCAGAGTCCAACAGCTGGGAGAGATAAGGGCTGATGCTGAGAAGCCAAAGATGACAGGCTGCACCCTGGGGCCACCAGTCCCTTGTTTTTCATGACCCTGGAACTTCCTGCACTGAGAGACACAACGCAGGAAACCTGTGGCCACAACCCCACCCCCTCCACCCCCCGCCTAGGGTAGGACATGCCTCACCTTTAGGTCATGATGTCACTGGTGCCTGGACTGGACCCCATCCCCAGAGCAGGACACAGCTCACTTCCTGGTCATGGTGTCACAGGACTCTGGCCACGACCTCACCCCCAGGACAGGTCACGGCTCACTTCCTGTTGGTGATGTCACAGGCCCCTAACATTCCACAGTCTCCTGGAGACCAAGGCAGATAGGCTGGAAACCTCGAGGAGAAGGCCCTTTCCTTCAGCTGAGGGAACATGGCAGTGAACCGAGGAGCGAGGACCCTCTTTGTCCTCCTGCTGTGTTGCTGGCAGGAGACCATGTTGAAGCCACTGAGCACGACCTCAGGTAGCTGTTGGGGGTTGGGGATCCTGGTTCCCCAAACCCAGTTGACCTGGTTGGATCACTCAGCTGAGCTAAAATCTTCAACTGAGGCTGGGCGGGAATGGAGAGCAAAAGTGACTAGAAACTGGAAATAAAACTAGAGTGGCACAGGCAGAGTTGACAGAAAGTAAAGGCAACCTGCACAAGTTTCAGGGGAACAAAGAGATTTTACTTAGTTAGGAAGACAAAGAGATAGTTTAGAGCACCTCCAAACAGAACTGGATGTGGGTGCCTCTCCTGAGGGAGACATGAGACAGAGGCAGAGGCCTGAGGGGGGTGGACACTCTCTCTGCCAGAGACTGGCCACAAGTCCCTCATGGGCCTCCCTGAACCTCCAGACAGCACTGCCCTTTCCTGTTGGTAACTGGTGACCTAGATGTCCTCACACCCACGTTCTTATGGGCCCTCCAGATGTTCTGGTAAGAGTCAGGCTTTCCTCCCATCCCCTTGAAGCTCCTTTCTCAGTAGGGACCCAGGTAGATTATTGAGCAGACAGAAAACCATGGGCCTGAATCTAGTGGATGACGCCACCTCCTCCCAGGTCCCTCTCCTCCTCACCTATCAGAATGTACCATTTATTCTTTTGGGAACCAAGGAAGCTGAAAAGTTTTCTATCTTTGAGGCCATTGTAAAGCCTGTAACTCCATGGGAGAGTTGCACATTTACTTATTTTAGCTTTTTATTATGGAAATCTTCAAACTCACTCATAGAGGATGAGCGGCATGACCCTCCAAGTGTCCATCCCGACTTTCACCTGTTTTGTGTATTTTGCTGGCTTGTCTTGTCTGCACATACATGTGTGTGTGCCCACACATGAGTTGTCATTTGGGGACCATTTTAGCGCTGTCCCAGATGTCTCACTATTCCATGTAAAATGTTTTCTCATGATAAAGCCATAGTTTTTGCACACCTGGAATAGCATTATTACACTAACAAAGTTAGCAAAGTTCTTCATAGAAGTTAATACCAATTGAAGAGAAAGTATTTGTGACCTTGTTAAAGGTGGCAAGGCATAGTCCAGTGGTTCTCCACCTTCCTTATGCCGTGACCCTTTAATACAGTTCCTGTGAGGGGGAAAAATACAGTTCCTGTGGGTCACGACCCACAGGTTGAGAACCGCTGGCATAATTCACAGGGGCAACTGCCATGGAGTTGTGAGAGTTGTGAGGTAGGGGGAGCCACTCAGATCCGCAAACAAGGGTTGAGCAGGCAGGGTCTGTGGGGAGATCGCCTGCCAGCTGACAAGGAATCCTACTGCAGGCAGGTCAGGATGGAAAGGTGGTCAGAGGGCAGGAGGAGGAATTTGATCAGATGGCGAGGATGGTCAGGCTGAGGGTGGGGCTTTTGCTAAACTGACTCAGCAGTATTCGTGCTGAAACTGGAGAAAGCGACTATGGCGGAGCCCGAGGCCAAGACCTCCTTGGAGAAGACTCAGAGGAGCTGGCCGGGGGCACGCCAAGGAGCAGGAGTGTCTGCTCAAGGAACGAAGACATCTTTTCTCCTGTGAATGATAAAAGTCCATGTCTCCTGAAGTGCAGGCCAGCTGCTGGATGGCACAAGCAGTTAGCAATTTAATAAAGGGAGTTTCATGAAAGGAAAAATGAAAATTTGTAGTCAGAAACTCAGTTTAGGAAGCTGAAAAGCAATCAGCTGAGATGTTGGGCTCAAAGTGTCTCCAGCTGGTGTCTGAAGAAGCGACCAGCAGTTGATGGTTTCCCGTCTGCTGCTGGGGTGACCTCAGTGGCTGTACAAATGTCAGAGTTGCAGTCCTAGAGATGCTCGAGGCAGAGCCTGGGAGTGAGGGTCAGCTCCCAGGGCTTGCAGCCAGTCCTAAGTTAGGAGGAAAGAGAAAAATTGGAGTTATCCGTTTTGGGAGTTGTAGCCAGACATTGGCAGAAATGAGAGGCTTGAGGACCCAGCCTGCTTTACAGGTGGATGGCAAAGCAGAGGTGCAGTAGCATTTGTAACCAGAAAGTTACGAAAACAAAAACAGAGAAAACAGGATTATAAATCATAAGAATGCACTATAGCTTTCTATTAAAATACAAACTTTCACTCTATTTTACTCCTTTGTTGATCAAAGGTAGCCATAGTAATGTTAATTCTTGTCTACAAAATAAAACTTTTTGTGTAGGCAAAAAAGATTAATGGAAGTATAGCAAGAACAGCAACCGACCATTGAGTTTGCTTTGCTAGAACTTTATAGGAGATCTCAGATTTGCCTTTTAAAAGCCTTTGGGGTCTTGGAAGCCAGCTGAGAACTCACCATCAGACTTCACTTGTGGTACCTGAAGATCTGGGCTAATTCTTGTCTTCTGAAGGATCTCGAAGAATGTCGAGGTTCCCAGACCTGCCCAGAGTAACCTTTGCTAACCTGTAGTGCAGGCACCCTGGAGGGATTTTCTAGGCGGGCTTTGTATGCATCAGCTCTGTCAAGCCAACATCACTCTGTAAACTCTCTGGCCATGTTTGATTCTATGTATCATTGTCAAATATATGCTCCACTCAAAGCTTTGGTGAGGCAACCAATGTTTCCAATTTTTTCCTGTTGCAAGGAGAATCTCATTGAATTACCAAATTGCTGTAAGTTATAAACACTGCTAGGGAAAAAGAGAAGAATTCTTCAAATTTGGAAGACAAAATATGAAACAACCAACAAAGTTATAAACAAAACTCCTGTAAATTATGACCTTCCCCATCAGATCTTTCAGTCCATGTAATTAATTCCTGTTGCACTTGACCTTGGGCAGCAGTTTCCTAAGTCTACCAGTTTCTCTCTGGCAGTTATGGAAACTTCCTCAGAGAAGTGGTGTAATCTTACATTATCAGACACCTGCATTCCAGAGCACTGGCCAGCATCGCATCCAGGTATCTCCTTGAAGGTGAAGAAGTTTGGGAGTTTAGGTGACTACAAAAGCTTTCAAGAAAGCACTAGAGGAAAATGGCAATTGGCAATCACAAAATACAAAATGGTTGCAGTTAAAGGTCTGATGAACATCTTCCCTGGTCTTGGGAAGTTGACTCAGGATCCAACCAGGGAACTAGTGAACTTGGCACCAGTTCCTTTTGTTCTGACCATTGATTAAGGGGCAGGGATGGTTGTGCAGCTCTTAGAGAGGGCAGTAGATGCACAGAGTGGGCAGGCTCCCTGGCCCTCATCTCCCCATGAGGTGGCTAGCTCAACCACCTGCTCCCTTCACCTTCCCTCCGTAGCAGAAACCAGAGACCAGAGCGCAAGGTCCTGACAGAATACTGCTACCCCAGTTCCCAAATGAGGCAAGGACGTCATAATTGTCACCTGGAGGGCTCAGGCCTTTCCCAAGAGCAAGGTGCATCCACCCACCTGCTACTTAAAGCTGGGAGGAAGCCAGTGAGAGGGGGACAGGGAGGCCGCAGCAAAGCAGCAGCCTGGACCGCACTCTCAGAGGCTGCCGCGTGGAGCCTCCCTGCCTCACTGCACATGCTGACTGGCTGATGAGCACACTACTTCCATTATAATCATGGACAGGCACAAAATGAAAAGAATATTTTTAACAAAGTGCTTGTGTGATGCAGCTGTGCCCATTTCTAATGATCATTAATGTCTCCTCCAAAGAGAACTGTACTTTTTGTTTGTTTCATTTTCTGAAGGTCAGCACATCAGAAGCAATTGTCATCACCAGCATAGACCTTTCTAAATATTTCCTGGCATTGTTCTAAGCACAAGTGTGCAGATGAGCCAATTTGTATGCAGATTGTCTATCATGAAGACCATTCAGAAATCAGCTTTTTCACTTGTTTAGTGTAGAAACTTCAGATTTCTGCAGATACTACCCAGAGCTCTGCAGCTCGGGAGGGGAAGGTGTGGTTGCCTTGCATAGCCTTGACCTGGGGAAAGAGGGACAAGGCTGACCTTAACCATGATCAAGCCAAAGAAACATACCAGAACACTGAGAAGCCTCACCTCCAAGGAGGAACAGCCATGAGTGGCAGGAGGGAGGAGCCTTGTGGTGAGTGCCACAGAAGAGAAAGCGGCACTCAGAACCATGGAGTGTCCTCATCACTCCGTGCAGACAGGTAGGCAAGCCACAGGTCAGAAGCCCATAGATCCTGAAGACACCTGACATTCAGACTTTCAGGTCACCTGGAAGATTCCACTGCTTATCTTCAGATGGGGCCACACTGACATCCACATCGCCTTGCTTGCTATAGAGGAGAAATTGGGTGAGAGTCTCTCTGAGTCTTCTGGCCTCCCAGAATGGAACCATGAAGTGAGAGAGCGTTTCATGCCATGACTCTCTAACCTTCCAGATACATTTATTGTAGGAACTGTACATAAAGGAGGTAAAAGTGTTTTTTTACAAAAGGGAGTGAGCCACCCTTTCTGCCTGGCTCATTCAGAGCAGTTGACTGAGCCCAGTCACCTTTGGAACTGGGATATGGTCTCTGCATTCAGGGACCAGGGGGGCAAGTTTCAGCTCACATGCACTGGGCAGATGGTCCTCCCTCCTCACTAGCCATAGGTAGGTGCCCTCCCCAAGTTCCAGATGAGAAACCCAGGTCTCAGAGAGCTGCCTGTGGCCGTCTCACAGGATACACTGGGACCCAGCCAAGCCTTCCTCCCCAGAATAGGCTGATGATGATGGAAAAATGAATCCTGCTAAAATATTTATGAGGTTTAATATGAGCCAATATGAATGATCCTGGCCTAAGGAACAGTCTCAAGAGGTCCTGAGAAAGTATACCCAAGGTGGTTGTGTTGAGGTGGATTTCGTACATTTGGGGAGCTGAGAATTGCAGACAAAACTATCAGTCAACACGTTAGTTTGGCCTGAAAAGGCTGGACATCTTAAACGGAGTCTCTTGCAAGTCTTGGGTGGGTTTTAGGAATTCTTCCATTGGTAACTTGTTGAAAGAGCTGAGCTTCATCTGAAGACTTGGGGAAAGCAGAAAGGAAGCATGGGTTCCACTGGGGGCCTGCTCTCTCTCAAGGGAGGCTGCTCAGTCAGATTGGAAAATAAGCCACATTATTCCAGTTAATAAAAAGATAGGTTAATGAGATTTCATGATTTGGGAGACCTGACTCCCAAGTCTCTTAGAATGGAATTTGGACCTTTGAGAGAAAATGTCAGAGTTCAGTCCTTACTGGTGGGCATCCTTCAAAACCATACCCATGTAAAGATGAGTAAGTTCAAACTCAACCAGCAGTGCTAAAGCATAGGTGTTTATCTCCCTTTCAGGTCCAACTACTGACATGCTATTGAGTTCGACAAATCAGGATATGCCCGGACTGTTTGGTAAGGAAGCTCCTCACAGCATCATGTCCACCTCTGGTCATAAGGGGGTGGGTGGTTGTCAGTGGGCATTTCCTAAATATGGGGATCACTACCAAAGTTTTGAGACAGACTGTTACGGTCCATGATTTCACTTTCAAGAAACACAGTCAACAGCAGCGTCCTTTCTGATTCACTCATATAAGTTCCAACTTGATCAGCTTATCTGTGTTCCTAGAGGACTTCATTTGATTCCCTCCATGTGGATTTTACATTTCTTAACTTTCATATCGCAAAACTTTTGTAATGACCCACATACCTTGCTACAAGTGGCAGGTGGTAGAGGGGCTGCTTAGGTTTGAGGCTAGAATCATGTTTCCACAGTCTTAGTGTTAGCACCCACACCTGAGAGTCAAACTCCCAAGAAATTAGGAAAGAGGATTTTAGACCATGAGACCTGAGAGGCCTCTGGGAGCCTGGATCTCAAAGTGGGTGAAGTCTGCTCTGTGGGTCAGCAGGATGTGTGCCACACAGAAGGCACTAGAAATGTCTTCCCTCATTGGAATCTGCATTCAGCTGGAGACCAGCGTCTCTTGTACCCTTGAGACAGGCCCCCTCGGGTGTAGAAACTACGAACACAATGGCCCCCTATAAGGACAGGGGTTCTGCTGTTCTGGTGGGGCCTGGAGCATCTGCGCCTCCCCAGGGGGCCTAGGGGGAGTGGAAGGGCCACTGAGGACACTGCCCCAGCCCAGGGCTGCCCAACAGACATCACACAAGTCACAGATGCAGCTTCCAGTTTCCTAGTAGCCATGTTAAATAGAAACAGATGAAAGTAAATTTCATGACATATTTAGTGTGATTATTTCAAGATGTAATCACTATAAAATTATTAATATCTTCAGTTTTTTTTTCACTGAATTTTCAAAATCCATGTGTAGTTTGCCATTCCTGGACATTTTCCTTTGAACCAGGCATACTCTGCATGTGCCCATGTGACCAGAGCTGCTCTGTAGATGGGGCCTACAGCTGTGGTCCAACCTCTTACTTTATATTTGAGGAAACTGAGGCCCAGAGAGTCCTCAACACCGAGAGCTGGGTCTCAGAGCACAGCCCTGCCCAGCTCACATGGCGCCCACCTCCCGGCCTCTCTGTCATGGCTACCTGTGACAGATGAGCCCTGGGTTTATGGTTGCTGAGGCCATCTAGGCTGAGGAACCACAGACAGGGGTTTCCTGGTGGGACGCAAGTGCTGCTGAGAAACAGGGACCCCTTTTCTGGAACTCCAGTGAGGAAGCTGCCTCTGCCCCGTATCCAAGTCTGAAGCACCAGAGCCTCAGGAAATGTCTTAGTCTGGATACTGATTTGGCTTTTCTGTTCAATTCTGAGTCAGAAGAAGGGACAAAAATTAGGGATGCTGTGGCACAGCTGTGCTGGAGCTGCTGCTGGGTGTCCAGAGCATCACCAAAGGGTTCTGGCTTCCTGCAGCCCAAGTGAGCACCATGGCGGGCTGTGGGTAGGTCATTTTTATGGGTGGTCTGCCCAGTGTCTGCCTTTATTTCAGTTTCTCTTCTGAAGAAAGAGAATGTAAATCTGAGAAATTAGACATGGTCTGCAGATAGAGCTCCTGCCCTGCTTGCCTGGTCAGGTGTCATCTCTGCCTGAGAGTTTCTCTAGCCACAATCTCACCAAATTCAGGAGGCAGGTTGACACTCAACAGCATCCCGTAGCCTCAGGTGCCTCCTTGGGGGCGGCCTCCCCACCCAGCTCTGATGGTGGTGGGAAGTTGGCCAGCTCCCTGCCTGTCTGGCTCAATGATGGCCATTGACCTGTGAGCAGGAGCATGTCCTGCTGCAGCTGGGCTGTTATCCACCTATCTTCCAGGACTTTCCAGGATGGAGTTGGTGTCTCCAGGAGGCCACTCCTGGCTTTTTAAAGGGAGCAGGTTGGTTCCCATGAGCCAGTTTAGCTATGATGAGCTCAGTTAGAGAGGGCAAATTGCAGAGATAGACCACCCCTGGACAAGAGGGACCCCAGCAAGGTCATGGGTCACTGGAGCAGGGCTCGGCCAAATGGTTCAGGCAGAGCCCCAGGAAGAGCCTCTTGGTTGTGCTGTCAGCCCAGGTCCTGCCCTCTACCTGCCCTGTGGTCTGGGTCTGCCCTCAGTGTGCACCCCTTACCCCAACGCCATGCACAATCACAGCTGCAGTTTCTGAGCTCCCATACATGGCTGGCTGGAGTGGACAGAGACCAGGGGCTGAGGCCAGGTCGTCCTTGATTCCTAGCACCTGTGCAGTATCTGGGGCAGAGGAGGGCCCCAAGAAACTTGCACCATATGAGCCCTGGAAGTTTTAAGCTCATGAAGCAAGAGAAAAGAAGGCCACATTTACATAAAAATCAGGAGAGATGCTCATTCATACATGGGGAACAGCTTGGGAGAGTCTCAGAGACTAGACAGGTGATCATAGGGCAGGGTGGAGGATTATGGCCACATCTGGGGCCAAGTGTCCAGCGTCACATCTCAGGGGGCCACGCTCACTGTCTAGGACGTCTGCACAGTCTTGGTTCCTCTGCACGTGTTCAGGGAGGTAGCAGCCTGCCCACCCCAGACAGGTTCTTCAGAAAGTCAAGTCTTAAATCCACTGGGCCCCTGGAATTTTCTGTCTGCCAGGTTCACAAACCAGCTTAGGTGCACGAAGCAAAGATGTCCATGCTGCCCTGCTGGTTCTAATGTTAGCTTGTATGCTTTTCCCAAGATGAAATTCTTGTCCAAGAGATTTTGGACCCAAATAAGTCGGCATTGGCTGAGACAACAAGCATATTGTCAACAATGGCAGAAAAGCTGGCCGAGGATAAAAGTGAGTATTTTATTTTTTAACCCTATAATTTCATGAAATCCTAGAGAACTAAATATCAGAAATCTCCAAGCAGTGAATGGAAATGCATTTAGCAGCAGGAAGGCCAGCATTTTCTTGAGATTTTGCATCCAGATGTAAATTTCAGTTCCTGAGATTAGCTCCCCCGACATCTGCTGAGGCCCAGACTACTGGGTTCAGGCATTCAGATGGAGCCTGACTCTTTTTACAGGTTCACTTTCTAACACACATTTTCAAACAAAATTTGAAAACTATATTAGCATTCCAATTCAACATTGTACAATAAAATATGGGCCAAAAATGTTCACAAGTGTGTAATCAAGAAAACTTTTCTCTCTTTTTTTTCATGTTCTTCACTGAAGATGCTGGTGTTGATACTAATTCTCAATATACCAGTGCTGAGAATTACCACAAATTATTAGATAATCTACGTTTCTCTTCTGGCAATAAAGACAAAATTTTCAGTAATGGTAAATGCAACCTGGAAATTACCCCTGCCTAAGTCAGATGTACTGGGAGGCAGAAGTGAGACTGATGCAGATGGGAAGATCTTTGCATGTTGGGGGAGAACACAGTTGCTTCCCCTGAGTTAGACAGGTTCCTGGGTCTCTATCAAGCTGAGGGGTCCCCACCTCCATGGGCCCCCCTGGAAACCACCCCCAGAGAGGCACAGCCAAGTGCTGTCTTACATGGCAGACACCCAGAGGGAGAGGAGGAGCTGCAGGTCCCTTCAGCTAAGTCACTTCACCCCCAGGGAGAGACAGAAAGCCAGGCATTCCCCAGGAGTGAAGAAGGCCTCCTTCAAAGATGTGTTTGCTGGATAAACCATGTGCAAAAGCTCAGAGGGTGAGAAGTTTGAGCCCCACAGGGTGAAAGGGTGTGTCCATACCTAGGACACACATGCGGGATATCTGTGGTGTGCCCTACACGCAGACCTGGGTCATGGCTCCAGACCCTGACTGTGTTTCAGGCACAGGGAGGGGATCTTATTAGACACAGTGACCAGGGCCCTGAGAATCTTCATTTCACTCCATTCCCTGAACAGCCCTCCCAGTGAGTAGCCTCTGGCATCTGGAAGGATTGAACTAGATATTTCCAGGCTTAAAAAAGAATACAATACTACTTAAATCTTATATTTCTAATGCCTCTGAATTGTCCAACTCACTGACTGTGCACACTGTCTGGTTACAGTGCATTAACTGAAGTCCTGCTTTAAGACAGAGCCGCCCCACCCTCATTTAATATACAGTTGTCTGTTAGTATCCAGCTAGGCTCCTGACACCTCCCATTTCCTATGGGCAGTGAAACACTGGGGCCACTGGAGGAATGGAATCTGCAGGGGTTCAGGCCCCTCTTATGCTTCCCTGGACAAGTGTTCTAAGTGCAGGTCATCCAGAGTGGCACAGTGCTGGGCCGCTTGTGGGAAAATTGTGTCTGGTGAATTCTTAGGATTAGGTGGCTTGGGGAAAAGGCGAGAGGACAAGGGAACAAATGGGGGCTTTCAGAAAGTACCTCAGCCAGGTAACATGAAAAATAGAGACATGAGCAGCCTGATACTTCCCAGGCAGCCCTGGCGTGGCTCGAATGGTCAGATGAGGTCTGATCCCATGTTTGCAAGTTGACCTTTCAAATAAAATTTGGAAAGAGTAGCACTTCAGTTTAACATTTGTTTCTAAATTACCCAAATGTTTATTTGCTTATAAAGAAAATTTTCCCCCATTTTTTCCATGTTCTCCATTAAAGAAGCCAGCACTAAAGAGAATCTCAAGGCCAGTGTTTCTAAGAAATACAAAGGCTCACAGTCGTCAGTGGGCAATGAGGGGACAACTTCCAGTAAAGGTGAGTGTCACATGGTCGTCCCCTGCCCAAGGTGGGGACATCCCTGGAGAGAGAGAGGCCAGGGAGGCTGAGAGGACCAGCTCCCAACAGGCTCCCCAAACAGAGGCTGTACTTTTAAATTTTTTCCCGTCTTATGGTGAGGACTGGTGTTTTGGGCTTGTTTTTAGTCATAGCTCTCTAATTATTAGTGAGTTTAAACATCTCATGTGATTAAGGGCCATTACATATCACTTTTGTCAATGTTATGTTTGTGCCAATTTCTCACTTTCTACTACATTTTTGATGTTTTATCCTCTACATCTAAGAGTTCTCTATATTTTAAGAATATTAGAACTTTGAGATGTAGGTATATGAAAATATTTATTTTCAAGTTTTCCAGTTGGATTTTAACTGTTTATAATTTTTCATGCAAAAATTTCAATTTTTGTGTAGTCAAAATTACCAATCTTGGTTCAGTGCCTGTAGCCCAGTGGCTAGAGTGCCAGCCACATACACCGGAGCTGGCAGGTTTGAATCCATCCTTGGCCTGCCAAACAACTATGACAACTACAACAACAACAAAAATAGCTGGGTGTTGTGGGTACCTGTAGTTCCAGCTACGTGGGAGGCTGAGGCAAGAGAATAGGTTAAGCCCAAGAGTTGGGGGTTGTTGTGAGCTGTGATGCCACAGCACTATACCCAGGGTGACAGCTTGAGATTCTGTCTCAACAACAACGAAAAATTATGAATCTTCTGGCATTTAGCTTTTATGCTATTGCTAGAAAATCTTGCCCTACACTGAGGCTGAAGAGGCATTTTTCATGCTTGCCTCTAGGATTTCTATTTAGTAGTGTGTGGAATATCTTCGTCTGTCACATTAGATATCTCATCCATTTGGGATTTATCGCTGGGTATGGTGTAATCTGTTTCTAGTTTTGCCTTTTTACAAATGGCCACCCAGTTATTCAGAGCCCTTCATTAAAATGTCCATCTTTGCCCCCATGATTTGCAAAGCCACATTTATTATGTTTCATACTAAATTTCCATATGCATTAATGTCTTTTCATGCATGAATCATATTTCTCTGTTCTATTTATCTGTTAAGTTGTCTGCATCAAATTGTTTCATTTAAAGTATGTTTTAACCTCTGGGATAGATTTCTCCCTAGGTAGTTCCCTTTTTTAATTTTTCTTTTGCAGTATTCTCCTGATTATTTTTGTATTTTTTAGTAATGCGTGGAATTTCTTTTTCTGTAAACTTGATATTTTTACTGGGATTGTATTACATATAATTAATTTTTATTATGAGTAAATAATTTAGGAAAGAACTGACATCTTTATGATGTTGAGTTTTTCCATTTGTTCCTTCTTATTTCCTATCTTTTGGGAGTATTTAAAAATATCCTTATTTAGGCCTTATACCGTCATGGCAAGTTTATTAAGTATTCAATCTCCTTTGTTGCTAATACAAATTAGATTTTCTCTATCTATGTGTGTTTTGTATACATATCCTTGATCTTGGCCAAAAGGCTTATTATTTTTATGTATAAATGCTATTGATTTCTGCAGGTTGATTATTTTCTACTTCTTATTGAATTCTTTTATTAACTGAGTTAGTTTTATCACTGAGTATCTAGGGTTTTCCAGATACACTATATTATCATCTATTAAGTAGAAATCGTTTTCTTCTTCTTCTTCATCAATTTTTATGCTCTCATTGCTTTTTCTTGCCTAATTGCACTGGCTAATAGATCTAGGAAAATGATTAATAGTGGCAGAGTTAGTGGGAACATTTGCCTTGTTGACCTTAGTAAGCATGCATCTGGTATGTATGCAGTAAGATTCTTTCTTTAGTACAGAGGTTTACATATTTCAGCATGTAAAGAAGGTATTCAAGAATTCTTTCACATTTTGTTAAGGTCTTTTATACCATCTTTGGAAATAACTGCACTTTTTAAGATGTATATATATATATATATTTTGGGGGGGAGGGCGGGGAGACAGAGTCTCCCTTTGCTACCCTTGGTAGAGTGCCGTGGCATCATAGTTCACAGCAACCTCAAATTCTTGGGCTCAAGCAATTTTCTTGCCTCAGCCTTCCAAGTAGCTGGAACTACAGGCACCTGCCACAATGCCCAGCTATTTTTAGATGAGAGCTAGCTCTAGCACAGGCTAGTCTCTAACTGGTGAGCTCAGGTAATCCACCTGCCTTGGCCTCTCAGAGTGCTAGGATTACAGGCATAAGCCACTGTACCTGGCCCACTTTTTAAGATCTATTAACATAGTATTGATATTAATGGGTTTTCTGATACTGAACCATCCTTGGATTTCTGAAATAAATACCACTTTGTCATATTGTTCATTTTCTTAAATGGTGTTGGATTCTGCTCAGCACTGTTTTATTTGATATTTTTGAATTTTATACACAAATTAAATTACTCTATAGATTTTGGGGCTTGTTTTACTGTCTTTATCATGTGGAAATATCTTTGTTATTCCTGATTTATAAAAATGAATTAAAAAATGTTTCCTTCTGTTTTGATCCTCTATGAAAATGTATAGAGCACTGGAAACATTTATTCTTTCAAGATTTATTAGAAATGCCCTGTGAAATTTTCTCATCCAGGTGCTTTTTTTCCTGGGGTAATTCCTTATAACTTTATTTCTTCTAGGGAAAATGATTCATCTAGATTTCTTAATCAAATGGGGTCTATTTTGGCTGTCAATATTTTCCTAGAAAATTATTCATTTCTGTTAGGTTTTCAAATGTATATGCATAGAGGTCTTTATGTCTTCCCATAATTTTTTAAATTTCATTTGTTTTCATTGTAATTTTCCTCTTCTCTCTTTTCTTCTTAGTTGATCTAAATAAAAGTGTTTTCATTGATTCATTCATTGTTCAGGAGCATGTTAAGTTTTGTGTATTTGTACAGTTTCCAAAGTTCCTCTTGTTGTTTATTTCTAGCTTTGTTCCACTGGGGTAAGAAAAGATAGCTGATATGATTTTGATTTGTTGAGACTTATTTTGCGATCTAACACACATGGCCTATCCTAGAGAATGTTTCATGTGCTGATGAGAATAAAGTGTTTCATACAATAGTTGGATGAAATATTCTGTAAATGTCAGTTGGGTTTATTTGGTTTAGAAGATAGTTTAACTCAAATCTTCCTTTATTTATTTTCTGCCTGGATGAGTGCTGAAGTCCCCTACTATTAATGTACTACAGTCTATTTCTCTCTTTAGATCCTTTAGTATTTGCTATATATATTTGGCTGTTCCAATATTGGTTGCATGTTTTCTTATAATTGTTATATACTCTTGCTGAATTGACTCCTGTATCTTGATATAGTGACCTTCTTTAGCTCTTTTTAAATTTTTGACTTGAAGTTTATCTTATCTGGCATAATTATAGCTATTTCTGTTCTTTTCTCATTCCCATTTGTGTGGGATATCTTTTTTACATCTCTTTACTTTCTATATATGTCTTTGTAGGTAAGTGAGTTTCTTGTAAGCAGAATATAGGTGGAGCTTTATTTTTTTATCTATTCAGATGCTCTGTATCTTTTGATTGACTCTGTATCTTTTGATTGACTCCTCTAAAATTTTAGTCACTTTACATTTTCATAGGTAAAGACATTGTATGATTTTGTTATCTTTTTTCTGGTTGTTTTATTACTCTTTGTTTCCTTTCTTACTATTGTCCTTTGTAATTAAGTAATTTTCTCCACTAATATGTCATAATTCCTTGCTTTTTATTTTTGGCATATTTATTATAAGCTTTTACTTCATAGTTACTGGGAAGCTTAAATAAAAAAATCTTAAATTTTTAAGTTATTTTAAGCTGCTGACAACTTAACTTTGATCACAAAGAAAAGAAAAATAAGCAGAGAAAAATGCTTTAAAAAATCCCAAACCTTTAACTCTTTCCCTCCCACATTTTGCATTTTTAAGTCAACTTAAATCTTTTTTATATTGTCTATCCTTAAAAATTATTTGAGATATTATTATTTTGGTACATTTGTCTTTTCTATTTATATTAAAGATATGAGTGGTTTGTACACTACAATTGCAATATTAGAGTATTCTAAATTTGTCTATGTATTTATTTACTCTACCAGTAAGTTTTATACCTTCAGATGATTTTGTATTACACATTAACATCCTATTCTTTCAGACCAAAAAAATCTTCTTTAGTATTTCTTGTAATATAGGTCTGGGGTGATGAATTCCCTCTGCTTTTGTTTTTCTGGGAAAATCATAGTTTTTCTTTCAGATTTGAGGAATATCTTTGCTGAGTGCAGTATTCTTAGTTAGAGGGCTTTTTCTTCCTTCAGCACTTTGACTATGTCATCCCATTCTCCTCTGCCTGTAAGTTTCCACTGAGAAGTCTACTGCCAGTGGACAGTAGACTGGCACTAGAAATCCTTTAGATGTCATTTTCTTCTTTTCTCTTTCTGCTTTTAGGAGTATGCTTTTATCCTTGATGTTTGAGAGTTTGATTATTAGACACCTTGGGTAATCTTAAATGAATTGAATCTGTTTGGTGATCTTTAACATTCTTATGCCTAGATATTCCTTTTATTCTCTATTTTTTCCTTGAATAAACTTTCTAGCCTTATCTTTTGCTCTACTCACTCTCTCGGAATTTTTTTGATCATGTACATGTTCTTCATTCTTTTTTATTCTTTTCTCTCTGATTGTGTATTTTCAAATAATTTGTCTTCAAGCTTACTGATTCTTTCTTCTGTTTGATGGATTCTGCTATTGAGAAACTGCATTTACTATTAATGTTCTACATTCTATTTCTCTCTTTATATCTATTAATGTTTGCTTTATATATCTGGCTGCATTTTTCAGTTCATCAAATGTATTTTTCAGCTCTAAGATTTTTGGAGGGACTTTTATTATTATTTCAATCTTTTGGTAAATTTCTCTGATAAATTTCTGAATTGATTTCCTGTGTTTTATTAAAGTTCACTGAGCTTCCTCAACCAGCTATATTTTTCTATAAAATTCGCTGTCCAAGAGGTCACGCATCTTCCTTTCTCTGCAGTTGGTTACTGGTGCATTATTTAGTCTGTTTGGTGAAGTCGTAGTTTCCAAATGTTCTTGATGTTTGTGAATGTTCATCAGTGTTTGGGCATTGAAGAATTAGGTATAAATTCCAGTCAGTGAATGAGCTTGGTTTGTCACCCATCATTCTTCAGAGGACCTTCCAGGAATTCAAAGGGAACTGACTGTTGAGTTCCTTAAGCCTTTGTCACTGCATCATTTCAAAACTAAGGGTTTGCTCAATTGTTTTCCAATTCACAAGGATCATTAGATTTTGCTGCCTATTGTCTAATGTATGGAAAATCATGTATCATATTCTTTTCTTGTTTTTTAATTAAATTGGAAGATAAGTCTGGTTCTTTTTACTCCAGCCTTTCCAGACATAAAGTTCAAAAACTAGACTTTTACTCACCCAGTTCTATTGAGAATCCTGGAACTCTAGATCTCAACTGTGGGGAAAAGAGAAAGACCAGAGGTCAGAGCCCTCTGGACTCCTTCCCAGCTCAGCCATGTACTATTTCTGTGACCTTAGGCAGGCTTCTTTGCCTCATGGAAGGCTCATCTATAAATGAAGACTAAAAATTACCCACAAGCCTCATCAGGTGCATTGACAGACACATAAAACCACACATACAGGGACCATATAAATGTGACTGTAATGTAGGTTCCCTGGGGTTCCTGAGGCTAGAGATTATATTCTACAAGTAAGCACACTGAAGGCAAAAATCTTTATAATTGCATAATTTTTCTAACTGATGGATGAATTTATTTTCACAAATCAGTTAATCTGAATTATGTGCCAAACTTTTAAAAATATTAAATGTGACTTTAGATATTCAGTGTAAGTATGAAGCTGGCAACAATCTCCATGGTACAGATTATCCCTGGGAAGATATACAAGGAACAGATAACAATTGTGGCCCACAGGAGGAAATTGGTAATGAGGTGGTTAACTATTAAAAGAACTTTATTTTTTAATTTTTCTAAAATTTAAAAATTATACCATGGGCTCATCATATTTATTAAAAAATAAACTGATAAACTGAGATCTTTAAAATAATTTATATTAATATTTTTAAAACCTGAAGCAATGGAGGATAATGGATCTACAAACATCTTCTCTTCCTTATTGCCAGAACTCCTTGCATGACCTGTGACTCCTAGGGTGTCTGAAAAGTCCCGTGGTCCATAGCATCATTCCCAATGTATCAACTGTGCCTAAAGTTCAGTTTAAGACTTTGGGATCTGTTAAATTCTAAGTAGCCCATAGGACATGTATAAATTTGTTCCATACTCATTGATTTCCTATTAATGTTAATGCCAACAGAAGAGTCACTTCTTTGATAATATCTATTGAGCACCTACCAGGTACTAGATAGATAAAGAGAAGGTCCTTGTATTCCAAGAAGTCAGAGACTGAGACAGACCCATCATAAATAGTTACTATATGTGTGTTCAAGAAATAGAAATGTGCTCAACTAAACTATTTCTTAAGTGTTCCAAGTTGCATTCCTATGGAGTTTGGGGGAAACTAATGACAGGCGGGTCTTCCCATGCTTTGAGAATA